TACAGGACAGTGACGCTACAAACATAGATGATCTCTTATAATTAGAATATGATGCACTGCTGTAGAATAAACTACACAACTGTATAAAAGGTAGTTCAGATATACCTCAATAGCAGCAAAATGCAACATACACATTATCCAAAAGCATCATGTAGTAAAATACTGACAAGGACCATTTTACTGCAGAATTTTAATCCTTTAAGTAAATTTGGCTTATTTTCTTTTTTCACACATCAGGATACACACAGCTCTGCTCTTGGACATATGACAAAATATCACAGCACTATTTCACTTGTAGAGGCATATAACACATTGTAAATCTTTTATTTAGGTACCATCACAAAAAATGAAATATTCTTAATATTGTTGTAAATATGAAAGATGCAACTTAAATTCATTATCCAGATTCCCTATCAATTGTTTATTAGTGTAATTGTTTACACACACATACCTATGTTCCCTCTGGGATGTAGTTTTTCCACAAGATGAAATGTCAGGCCTGTATTAATCAGACATCCATCTCACTATCAGCTTCTTCTTATCTTCACTTGTGTTGTCAAAGTCAGCAGCGGTACTGTAAACTGTCTCCAGCTCGTGGGCGGCAGTGATGCTCTAAAGTAAACAGGCCCAGGTTTGGGAAGTTTAAACAGGTGTCAGACCTGAGATTTGACATTGTCCCCCTGATCGGTCTGCCTCACACAAACCTACTTTTTTTTTTTTTTTTTACAGCTGAAGCCCTCAAAGGTTAAAGGAAGATCACATCACAGATATCCTGAGGTCAGGAGGTCACATCCTCTAAAGATAAGTTCATCTCTTATTCTTTTCATTCTCTAAAAACAGTTAACACGTTATATTGCATCCAGCACATTTGTTCCTATGGTGCAACTGAAGAATATTTTTTTTTAAATAACTGTCTGTATTATTCTTACAGCGTTATTAAAAGCTTTAAAATTATAATTTCTAGATTCCTCATTAACTTTAAAAATGTTTATGCTATGTTTGATACACCTACATCTTAACGTTAGTATTGATACATACTGTATTATTATGTTACTTTATTAGGTTAGCTTCTCCTCTTCAGATGACATTGGAGCCCATGTAGGCTGTATGTTCAACAATAACACCCGTTTATAGCTTAGGCTATTGGACCACATTTTGGTAGCATATTGTAACTGTGAAATCCATGTACCATAACTACGTTATAGCTTCTGCAGAATATTTGGTTTCCCCCAAACTTCTGTTTTACTGTTCCCCATAGTCTTATTTTCTTCCACTGCACCTACATTTAAGTACCAGTAAGAACCTGTAAGTATCGGATTCATCATCAAAATTACCCTTTAAATTATCAGTTAGCACTTTATAATAAGTGCTACCGAATTTTGGGGAAACATTTGACAGTTTTAACACCTAGAATCTTTTTCCACTGGAGAATAATGTTTATACTGCTTGAGTGTTACTAGCATGGTTTATGATAGTGGTTCTCAACCTTTTGGTGTCAGGAACCCCCAAATTGATAAACATCAGGCCACAGACCCCTATTTGAGAAAACAGAGTGACAGGGATCCCAGTCTGATAAGATTGAATCATTTCATAACTGTCTAAAGTGTAGATTGGCAGATTAACAGCATCATTCAGGACTAATTCTTACACATTTTCCCATTGGTCTAACTTCTAACTGGTCATTGAAATAATTTAATTTAATTTAATTAAAGGACCACTGTGGGGAGTCCCAGAACCACTGGTTTGGAAGACCAATAAATCATGCAATCTAGGGGAAAAAAAGATCTATTTCAATTCCCCCAAAAAAGGATATAAACAAGGATGTTGGCTGCAATGCATCATGACTGAATGCTCTTCTTCAGACCACACAGTCACTCAGACAGAGACAAAAGGGAAGGAAGTCCCTGCTTCTTAAAGGTCACTGGGTCACATTTGTTTCACTGCTCAAACAAGAAAAGTTCACGTTGAAAACAGTTTCTTTCCATTTGTCTTCATATCACCTCTTTTACAAACAAGTCAGCATTATAAAACATAACTTTTATTTCCAAACTTGTAGAGTCATTTCTATTTCCCAACACAGAACATAATGCGAGATGTATAAATAAACATGACATTGCCCCATTGTTTGGCTAGATTATGCTGCATTTTCAGAAGTGTAAACAGAAACACAATGAAAACAAAAGCTTAGGCAGTATTATTTCCTTTGTCAGGCACCAACTCTGACTGATTAGCTTACAAGCTACCTGAGGAAGACATCATTTAATCATTCACAGATATCACTATAGATTATCAGTTAAGCATTAACAATCCCTGCCCACCCACATTTCCTTGCAGTCTTGAGTAGACCTATGGCACTTTTCAAATCACTGATCAGAAGCACAAATGGCTTAAATTTTACATCTGTTAACCCTGGTTTCAGCTGTGGTCGGGAACCCAGCGAAAGCGGTACCCTCCTTGCTGAGTCCTCGAAGTGAAGGCTCTTCCATGAGGAAACACCTGAGTCCTTATGGTGCAGTGTTCTCGAATAGAGGTTCTGAAAGATGAGACGCTTTCTTCAGGCTCGGCTCCATCCACACTGCAGTCTTTGGAAATAGTCTGTAGGCCCGAGAATGAGCCGTACATGCGAATAGTCTCTGATTCCTGCTTGGGTCTTGTTCCAGTAGCAGTGCCGCCGTGCAGCACAGCATTGCAACGTGTGCTGATGTCCCTCAGCATGTCCTCCACTGAGTCAGAGGACTCGGTTTCATACCCTTCATCCAGTCGCTGCCGCTTACAAGGACTCAGTGAAGTATTATCACTGCAAGGCATCACCGGCTCTCTTACATGTGGGTCCCTGACTGTCATAAGTTTCTAAAACAAAAAAGTAAAACAGCAGATCCAACAGAAATAAAGATTAGACGTAATTCATGACAAGACAGGCATGAGAGGTCATATTGTATCCAGGATGAATGTGTGTGTACGTATTTAATCATGCACTCACTTCAAGTACCGAGGCCAGGTGCTTTGCACGGCTGGCCAGTTGCCTGAGGTGAAGGTTTCTCTCCTGAAGGGAGTCGATCTCTTCCTGTTTCCTGTGTAGAGTCTCATGGAGCTGCAGACACACAGAGACAACGATGGTCAGTCATACTGACAGAGGACACGATGCTCAGTCCTTTCCATTACCTGGGCATAACCAATTCATGTACATCTTTGTGTTTAGATACTGTATGAATATGCGTAGTTATTTATAATGTAGTCCTATTGCACCTGTCACATGACAACTCTACTTTTAGTGATGTTTTTTGGCATAAGAATTGCATTTTTTACTAATTTACACACTCTCCAGTATACACCATTTCAAATCAGACTGGGTTAAATAAAATAAAGATGTTTTTCTGATAACCATTTTGGGGGGCTATAACTGAGGCAGTAAATTACCCCATTAATGTATCTGGTAGTTTTTGTTTAACTCTAATATATCAAAAATAGTACTATTTTGATAAATCATAACACAATCCACATCTAAATATTTCCTTATCATGTGCACCACAGCCATCAAGTCCAGATGAAAGAGACCAGACTTTTACACTGTACACTGGTCATAATTCTCCACATTAAGGATTTACCTGATTGTTGACTTCCAAGGAATCTCCCAACGCAGCGCTTTGGCACTGGGAAATGCCCCTCCACAGAGCTCCGTCTTGGGCAGATGGGTTGCCTGTCTCTGTGGATGAGTGAACCAGGCTGTCCTCTGAAGAAAAGTACCGCTGAGGGGTGAGGGGAGGTATGATACATCCCTGAAATGGTACCAGTTCAGCTGGAGACAGACTGCTCTCCAGTGTGGCAGGAGAATCTGCCAGAGGACATAAACATGGAGGGGTTCAATCAATGTGTCTCAGTTTTGAGGATGTCCTCAATAATAAAAATATGATGATAATGATTATTAGTATTAAAGTAGCAGACAAAACATGTAAATGCTGCATCTCCAGAGTAGAAGAGTTTGGTTTGCTTTTACTCACCTGCCATGAAATCCAGCGCATAATCTCCAAAGTCTTGGGCATCTACATCAGATTCATTCACCTGTGGGAAGGTAAAATCGACTATTAAAACACATATATGTAAATACAAACTCAGTAAACAAAGAAACAATAACTGTAGCACACCTGAAAATCCCACCAGGCAGGGTAATGTGGGTTTATGGCAGAACATGTCTCGGTCGTCATTTCAGTGAGTGTGGCGTCGGTTAAGTGTTTTGGGCGCACAGTGAGCTTGTGCCAAAAAGAGGCTGCTTGTGGACAAAACTCGTGAGGTCCAGCCAATTAGATCTAGACTGCGTGTCATGAGCAAACAACAATCTCATTCGTGGAGAATTCCAGCACATCGTGTCAAACATTAACACCCTGGGAGTAATGAGGATCTACCACCATATGTCTCTTTGGAAGAGTTGGAAATGCGCGGATTTGAATGGGAAAATTCAGGTGTCACAAAAACATGAGATGTCTTAATAAGTTAATGAGTTGTTTTCTCCTCACCTGAGAGCCGAGGGAGTCGCTCTCCCGTCTCACCACAGAAGCGCAGTCATCCAAATCATCCCATGCAATTGTTGAAAAAGCTGTGAGCCAAAAAAAAAAAAGTGTGTATGCATGATTCAACCCTCGATATTTATTTATTTACACATGCTGTCACATTGAGATAGCGCATGAAGCTCAGTCATAATATACGCATACCTTGTTCAATGATGCAGGGAAGCCCCACGTACACAGTGAGTGGACTGCTGCTTCTTGGCACCAACACTCCCTGCCTATCCTGCAGGTAGAAAGTCTGTTAACCCAACTATACAGAGCTGTGCTGTGTGCATTAATGTAAAGAGAAAGATTTCAAACCTTTTTGCTTACTGCAGCTCTCCTCTCCTGTTGGCCCATTTGGTTGGGGCAGATAGCACCAAACACCTTTCTGTCTCTGTACATCTTCATGCGCTCGGCTCTGGCTGCAGGACTGAAGGATGGTTTGATTTAGAGCTCATATAAACGAAATTCTCCCGGTTTGTGTCTCTCCGTGCCGCGGCCTCATAGTTTTAGCCCAATCAAATGCACTTATTTGGTCTCCAGGGAGTGACAGCGTCCTCGGAGATTAAACTGGTGCAGACTAACGGTTTTTCTGGTCTGAAGTGTAAAGTGGTACCGCGCGTAACGGCGCCATTACAGCAGGTGCTCTCTGCGTTAGACCTGCCCTCCCTCCGCCTGCGGCCAAATATTCCCTGCGCAATGCCAGAAGGCATGTAAACTCCTTCCAACCTGTCTGTTTTATAAAGACCTCAGCTTGTCTTCACAGTCTTTGTCAAACAGACCAGCTCGTTATTGGCACAGTCGGGAATTTGTACAGAGGATTCTCTAATTATCAACAATTCTTTGTTTAATATGGCTATATCATTCAGTGCGTAATTTATATCCAACTGTGCGTAAAATATCTATTCAAATTAGGTCAAGACTTGTTGTCTCATTTACAGCGATGTGGAAAAGGAAAGGGGCAATTACAGCAGACAGCTCAGTAAACACTTGTGACAAATGCCTCCATTAGTAAACAAACAAGAGTAAGCCTGGTTGGCCCTTAACGCTGAATGCACCTGTGTGGTCGACACCGTGTCAGCAGGTCGAGATGCCACGCGTAATGGATTACCAGAGAAAGCTGATTGTTGACCAGACTGAGTTGGCACGGTTCCTGTTTCAAATAGTGACGCAAAGAGATGTGGGTAAACCGACCTACATGGCAAATAACAGTTTATAAGCCTCAGAAATAATTTATATTATGAGAAAGGTCTTTATTTCTTCTATTATCCCTAAAGAGGGCCTGTAACCTCATATTTTGATTTATGTCAGACTGAAAGGATGGGCTCTTGTGTCTACTTGTCAGCAATATAACAGAGCAATCATTTATTTATGAGTTTATTAAAAAAAAAGTCCAGACACTGCAATGCAGGCTTATGCAAAGACTACAAACCCCTGCTATGCCCATTAAATCCAGATACAGCTGCCAACAGAGACAACTTTTAACTGTAGGTGGTGCATTTGGTGGTCAAATTTAATTAATTCTTATTTATGTCATACAGTCTCCATTATATATGGACAGATTTGTGTGCCTTTAATCAAACAGTGGGGGAGTTTAAGTCATGGCTTCACATTGTATTATCCATTCAGAGACCAACACAAATTCATTTTACTGATCATTTATTTCATATTACAAAGTTATTACAGCACATTTTTTAGGTCCTTCATTGAAGAGGTTGAAACAGTAACATAACTCATAAACCTGCAGCAAGTCAGTGCATATACAGTAAATATAATGACTTTGATTTTGAATGAATTAAAATAAACAGAATATATTAATATATTTTATTGATAAACAATAACCGACTGTCAATAAATATAAAACAACTATGCTATTTGTAAAACATTCAATAGCTGCAATCAGCTGGTTGTATGAGGTATACATGAGGTTTAGAATAGATAGATAGATCTGCATAAACACCAAACATCACGTAACCCCAAAAATATAACCCCCATGATTGAGGGGGAATTTGGCATTTTGCTAAAATCTGAGTGGTGACAACACTTGTATTCACATAGCAGACATCTTTTGCAATGTCTCCTGGTTTAATGACACCAGCAACTTCAGGTTGTCTTTGCATTCCTGGGCTAGACTGTGGTTGAAGCTCCCTGGACTCACAGACAAGAAGTGGCCCTTGAGAGAGGACAGAAAGTCTCCCTCAGAAAGCTCAGGGCTCTCAGGTGGTTGGGCAGAATGTGGTTGGGTACATAGTTCATCCACAAAACTGCCCCACTGGTCTTTCTCTGACTGGACTGTTGCATGCTCTACAAGCCCCTGTTCAGTTTTCACTAGCTCACTGGCCAGCGTCAGTGCACAGCTTGCAGTCAGAGATGGTGGGTATTTGTTGAAAGCATAGTCCGCTAGACTCAACTCGCACACCTTTCGTGCAAGGTTGCTGCACCGCCTTGGTCTTTTTGTGTCTGGAATCATTCTTGCAAACCTGTTGCCACCTGTGTTCTCAGACACATGGTGGGCAGCCTCGATGGAGTTAGTGTAATAGTCCAGGAAGAAGGCCAGGGTGGGTGCAGCGAGGCGGAAGTTGAGCCGGAGGAGGATGAGACACTCCAGGTTGCAGAGCTGCTCCTTAGTGAAGGCATCACAGCAGAACGACAAGAGGTGGCTGATCCGCGGAGAGCACACCTCCACCTGGGTGGACAGAAAAAAAGGGAGTGAGTTATATTGCTTGAGTGAGTTATATTCAGTTCCTCAAGCATTTACCACGCTCAAAAAGACGCACCTGTTTACTGGCTAGAAGCAGTGCAGTGACACCCAGTAGCTGGAAGCAGTCAGCAGCCACCGGCGTGGACGCCAGAAACCTGTCCATGATGTTCACTGCCAGGCAGCAGCACTCAAAGGACAGACAGAAATGTTTGTGTACAGGGATGAGCCAGCTGACGAGCGTACACCGGGCCTCTGCAGTCAACTGCAAGTAAAACACAAAATCCAGTTGTATAAGCAGCAGATTAAAACAATACCTAGTATTTAATAGAAGAAAAAAAGGAGGATTTCACTGAAGTGACTAGATGGCATGTGTTTTTGTCCTCTTTAAGTGCATAAAACACTGCATTTGAAACATTGGGTCTAACACCAAAAGGCAATGTTAATAACTCAGAAGTATGACCTATAATGTTAGATGACAAAATCATATTTTTGGATTATATGCTGTTCTCTTACAAAATGGAAAAGTAGGCAAAATCTTTGGTAAACAGTTATGGCAGATAAATTACTTGTGGTTGGCGTGCCAAGCTTTTGCAGGGATGAAACTGCGCCTCCTTCTCCCTCTGGATCTTGTATCCCATATCGCCGTACTGGAGGTACCAGGTGGACAGCTGTCCTGCGGGAGGCTCGTCTGAACGGAGCGGGGACACATCTATCCGAGCCGGGGATGAAATCGGGGAGGAACCCAAGTCTTCCTCGAAACCGGAGTCACTCAACTTGGACATGAGTGTCTGCTTTCTGTGCCGGACAGTCTGCCGCTGGTGGACCGGTGTGAGCTCGTCTGTCGGAGGAGACGCGCCGCTCGTCCGTCTCCGTTTGTAAACAGTCTCGGAGCAACATCCACCGTTCACAAAGGACACCATCTCCGGTACCCTGCGCGCACACCGGCCACCAGTCCACTGGCTGTGTGTTACTGAGGCCGGGTCTACACGGCGGCGGTCTCCGGGCTGCGGGCGAGGGGAGTTCCGTCTGGTGACGTCAGTTTTCCCGGGGTCTTCCCCGCTCCTGCAGCGCACCTTTCTCCCGTCGCCCCGGCAACCGAGGCTTAACAATCACTTGTTCCATGTAGAGTTAATTATCCTCAACCTTGAACCATATGTTACCTTTAGCTGTCCTATTTCATGAGACAAATTAAATCTATCCTTACAAAGAGAATTTAAAAATGTATGTTTTTAGCCTAATGTTATTGATGCATCATAAGTAAATGGCTGTTTTAACTTAAAAAATGTTGTTTATTTTCACTTTAGATGTCTTACGTTAAATATGAAACAACTGAAAACCACATGGGCCTACATGTGAATGTCTTTATATTTGAAATGGTGTACCCTCTGTGATGAATTAAAATGTATTAGAACGCAGGTTATATATGGAACTATAGGAAAAATCTGTTTTTTATTGTTATTATTATGCAAAACTAAGGAACATCTCAAAAATAGCAACACACTGAAAATAAAAAAAAGTGGAGACTGGAGGTTGAAGTGCTTATCCAGATTGCTCCAACGTTAACTTCAACCGACTTGTTAACTACATGCAGTCCATTTATAATATAAAACTGTGTCACAATGTTAAAAAGGATTGTGTTTGTTATTAAAAAAGTGCTGTTGTTCATCGCGGTGGGCGGGACTTTAACGCTGACGACTACAAAACACACACACAGCCTGTCCGTCCCCTTTCAAACTCCAGTGCGAGACAGCGATCAATGCCTAGTCAGACCTGAACAGGCTTCAAGTATGCCCTCTGCACACACGGTAACTACTTGACTTTAATATTGTTTACGGATAATTACCGCGGACGTTTTTTTTTTATTATTATTAATGCCTGTCTTTACATAGTTAACACAGCGTAACAAAAAGCTGTAACACACAACAGCAACGCTAGCTGTTGCTAGCTGGGGAGCTAGCTGTTATGTGTCCTAGCTGGGGAGCTAACTTAAATAGCAGCAGCAGCTAACAGTAACGTTACGGTTAATGTGGCAAGTTAGCTGGCGTTGTGTTTGGTGACTAACACCGGTTTGTTACCGGCGTGGCGGCTGCACGCTTAGCGAAGTTGTGCGCCGTTAACTCGAGAAAGAGGGAGAAGTATCGTTAAAGGCAAACCGGGCTGCTGAAGCTAGTACGCTAACGTATGCTAACACCGTGCCATAACAAGCTCCTGGAGTTGGTTAGCTGACGTGAGGTTAGCCAGGTAACTGGAGCCGCTGCAGACCCTGTGTTACTTTTGTTCGCGCACAGTCGCATAAGTTAACCTACGGGCGGTGTTAACGTTGGTGATAGGTGTGCTAACACGAGAAGCCTCAACGTTAGCGTTAGTTTTTCCACAGGGGTCAGGTTTTCATCGTGGAGCTGTCAACGTTCACAGCCAATAAAATCTGTTAAAGGTTAACAGGAGTTGGTAGAAGTCATATGATGTAAGACTAAAATTACATAATGTACCATTAGCTACCTGTTTTACTGTTGTCTGGTACTTAAACAGGAATTGAATTTAAAATGTCTTTTGTTTGGTTTTTTTTTAGCTGCAAAGTTCTGCAACATTAAAGCTCTGAATTACATGATAAGTTGTGAAAGCGGTGAGCAGTTGCAGCCAATGAAAGTTTCTGCACAGCCAACTAAAATGGCATGATGCTGTTACAAACACAGGACGTCTGCCAAAGTCAGAAGTTTGGCAGGAGATCCTGCTGGCATACAGTTTGTGTTTAGGATGTTTTGATTACATAAGGAGTATTTCCATATTAACTGAACATGTCCTCCTGCAGTTTTAGCATAAGTGAACCATGGAAAACTCGGGCAGGCCTTACCGGGCTAGACAAGGCGGCTGGGAGAGGGGAGCAACATCAGACAAGCCAGAAAGCTGGAGGATCCAGGACCAGGGTCGAGGACAGAACTTCAGATCTGAGGGAGGTCAGCAGGGCAAGAACCAGGGGGGGCCCTACAGAGCCAGTCCCAAAAAGGGAGGACTGGGGCCCATGAGCTACTCCCCCGGGGGATTTAGAGGTGGCCACAGCCCCTCGCAGAAGGATGACCTGCGGTGGTTCCCAGGTCCTGAGAACTGTGGTGGGAGTCGGGATGATAACTGGAGAGAGCGCTCCCAGCAGCACTGGAGGAGGAGTTCCCAGGGAGAAGGTCCAAAGGAGGACAGGGAGCAGGGGAGGAGAGAGCCCACTGATGGCAGCGCTTATGCATCAGGTGAGTCTGGTGAGTAAGGCAGCGGTCTCAATTAGCATTCCACTCTGACTCTGATCGTAATGACGTAATGTATGTTAAAATCAATTAACAGGATCTCCACAGAAACATAGTTAACCTATCTGTCTAACTCGTGCATTTCTGCTTTCCGAAGGGAGAAGACGGAGAAACAGGAACAAGAAGAAAACCTTTGCTGAAGAGAACAGCGGCCTTGAAGAATCAACACTCTCAGCCAAAGACCTCCAGAGCCTACGGCAGGCAGAGAGGCGGCTTAACAGAGAGGAGATCTACTCTCTGAAGAAGGTACATTTGATTTGTCAATCATTTTCCAAGTAAAAAAAATGAGCTGTCTCCAGATTCTCTAGTGTGATAATTTGCTGCTTACATTACAGTACATTTTTTGTCATTGCATTGTTGGTCGGACAAAAAAAGACATTTTTATGATCACAGATGTTGTGTTGGGCATTTGTCACTGTTTTTGTGATGTTTCATAGACCAAATGATGAATCGACTAAACAGCCGTCTGATGTCTGTACTTTCCTCCTTTTTGTAAATTGGTTCAGAGGTCCCACAGCAACCCTGCTGCACTTTACACCTGCACTCTGTGTGATCTTCTCCTGGAATCTCTGTCTGACGCTTACAGGCATATCAGAGACAAACGACACAAGAAGAAGGCCAGGGTGAGAAATGGTCTTATTATGCAAATAACCATTTACACAATTACACTTTATACTTCTGTATTTTTTTTAAAGTGAAATAAGTCTTTATGCATTAAAAAAAAATTGTCTTGAATCCCTATTTGCTTGTGTGTTTGTGTTCGAAGGAGAGGCAAGAGCAGGTGATGCTGACTGAGATTCTGCCTCCTGGTCCAGAGCAGATCAGCGCACTGAGTGCTGCACTAGAGGCTGTTGTCCGGGAACATGGGATGAATGACGAGGATGTTGAGAGGAGACAATGTGTTGTCTCCATCATGCAAGACCTACTTCTGTCCGTCCTTCCTGGTAAGTCACTCGAGGGCGAAATAATAGTTTGGTGACAGAGACATGACCTCAATTCATCCAGCTTATTGTTTTGTAGTGGACAGGCTGTTGTCTCTTATGCTTTATGTCTGTGAGTTATGTTTTATTGTGAACATCATTATTCCCTCTCTTTCTCTCATCTGTAGAGATCAGGCTCAGGCTCTACGGCTCATCTTGCACTAAGTTTGGATTTAAGGATTCTGATGTCAACATTGACATTCAGTATCCACCTCACGTGAGTAGGCCAGTGTGAGTTCGATGGCGTGAATGTTTTTTGTGGGGTTTTTTTGTTTTGTTTTTTTCTCAAAAGATATGCAAGTTATAATGTTACAACGTGTAAGTTAGAAGACGTTGGTAACAGCATAACATATTGGAGGTTAAGGATAATTTACATTGGTGTTAGATATTCAGAATGATTTCTGTTTAATATTTTGCATTCATTCTAAGATTTAAAGGTCATTGTTTTGTGGATGTTGTTTGTTGGACACACTACATTCATATGTATGTCCTTTTTTATATTGTATTTATGTTGTATGAAGGCTCTGAAATGGAATGTATTCACAGATGCATCAGCCAGATGTCTTGTTGTTGGTCAAGGAGAGCCTCTCTGTGAGCCGTGAGTCACCTCTTATTTAGTCAACTGCAAGGTTATTTTCCTTGTTAAATTCCACCACAGTCATGTGCTAGACTGTCACTGAAGTTTTAAATTTAACATGTCTTTTTGTGTCCTCAGCTCTCTTCGTTGATCTGGAAGCTGATTTCCATGCTAGGGTGCCTGTGGTCATCTGCAAAGAGAAACATAGGTGGGTATCTCTGACATTTACTGGGTTATTTTATT